GATTATAGCGGCCATCAAACTCCCTGTACTGGTCGGCAGTTAACTGTTTCTTGGCCACCACTAGTGTCCTGAGTCCACTCCGGGCCATATTGTCCGACTGCTCCTGTAGCCAATCGCTGGCCGTAACTATGGTTGCCATCACAGTGTCCGCGCCCTTTAGCAAGAAAGTAATCTCTCCGGTCTTTACTTCTCTCACAATAATACCCATACGTTTAGTCTCCGAACTGAAGGGAAATATATGCAGTATATCGTAGGCAAGTGTATTGCCGTTGGGGTCCCGGAGCTTCATCGATGTCGGATCCCTGTATACTAGAGCTACGCCCAGGCGTTCAGTCCACTGTACCAGCGCTACCTCATCGGGACTACTGGCCTGGTATGTGATAATACCGGGGTCGGGCATTGGGGGCATTTTAGACAGTTCGTTAACCACGGGGCTGTCGGGCACCGGATCGTAGCTCTCGTACGAAGGCGTAACGTTATGGCATAGGGCGCAGGCGAGCACCGCCTGCTGGACACGTTGCACGCTATCCCTGTCCACTTCGTACGAGTCAACGCGCATGTGCTGTGGCATATAGCGCCTGCGCTCTACCGTAAAGCTGGCCGTACTTATGTTGGACAGGTTGCGCCGGTGCCCACCACTATGGCCACCACTGCCACCACTATGATATGTTTTGGGCGATGGTTCCGGTTGTGGAACGTAATAGGCCTGGAGTAGAGCGACCAACTCGTCAAAGTACTCGGTGGTGTACGCGATTTTGCCCAGGTGTATTTTCTTGAACACCATTTCGTTCCTGGTCAATGTACCGGTTTTGTCGGTCAACAAGTACGCTATACGGCCCAAGTCCTCGGGTATGGTAGTGGTGCGCACGACTGTGCCCGGGATCTCAACGTCCCGACCTATCATGTATGAGTAGACCACTCGCCCGATCTCCAGGTTTACTCTGAGACTTATGGGTATCATATATGAGAAGGCCATTACAAATCGCACCCAATAGACTATTACGTAATACGAGCCCCAATACCCTGTTTTCCATGGGATAAGTGCATTGTTTTAATATAATGTTAAAACCATAAATGCAGTAGCTTACCTCTGAGCACAATCATAGCCAGTGACATTACGCACAGTGCTATGCATAGTATTTTGGTTAGGGTGTTAATCTCAAAGTCCAGCAAGCCCACTTTACTTCGGGGCTCGTTGTTGTTCATCATGGACCGGGTGTCCGGACCCGTGTATATGACTAGACCTATGGCAGTGCCCGACGCCACCACTGTATTGGCCCATAAAGTGTTCTCAATGTTCAACGATATCTCTTTACTAATACCTATGTTTACAAAATAAAACTGTCAATTAATATTTAGGTCATATTTTATAATTATGTTTATTAATAATAACATGATTAATGGGTTCCACAATGCGTGGTCATATATTTATTGGATATTAAATTAAAACATAATATTCTTATTGTAATGTAAATAATTGATAAAAATATCTTTACTTTTTTTTGTGTTTTTAATATAAAAAGTCACAATATTAAATAAAAACTATCAATTACAATGTAAGCAGCATTTTAACTTTACTGTTATGTAAGTTAACATGTTTAATGGAATGTAATTATTTAAGCAATAATTTAAATGTTAATTATCACCATACAGTTTTATTTTTTTTAATAATATTAAAGATGATCAAGGTATTATTTACTTACTATCTCATCTGTCTGTGATTTTACTGCTCAACACTTGTTCTACCAACTGTCATTTAATAAGCATCTAATAATTAAATGTTACCGTTATTTAAGGTAACTATGTATTGGTCGATAATAGCAACACAGATAAATTATTAAATGGTAATTTAAATTGTGATAATTTTTTATAATAATAAAATGGCTTAAATATAAAGTTTGACAATTTGCATGACAAGTAACTATGCCTGTAAAGGTATATTTTAAAAGTTCATTAAAATAAATATGTAGTATTATATATTAACATAATTGTTATTTAAGATAACATGATATCTTTTTTAAGAAAGTTAACTATTTAATATTATTAACATCACTTTACATAAAATATTAAACAACAATTACCTGACCCTACGGTGACTTTGCCGGTGAAGCTATGGATATCCCTTCGGGGCTCTTCTGCGTGAACGCAGGCCTCCCAACCAAAGAGCTGGTCGTCTGAGTCCAAGCACTGGGTGTCGGCCACTGCCAGCCGTAACTTCCAGTCCGTCTCGCCGTCCAACTGATCCGTGCGTACAAAACAGGCGCCAGTTTTCACACTAGTCCTGAGAAAAACCATGTCGGCCGGCACTCGTTGGTCCTTGCTCACCACGATCAAATCACCAACACGCATGTCCGAGCTATGACAGGCCACCTGTGCGCCACTCGGTGTGAGCTTCTTGTAATTTTGGCGATTAATTTGTTTATCACGTTTGAATCTCAATATATCGTCGACCGCCTCCTGGATTAGGGTTACCGTTAAGACAAAGCCCAGAGGTGTCCAATAGGTGTATATCTCGCCCACCCGTAGTCAAAACACACTATTGTTTGCTTGTTTGTTGAAATAATACAAGATGCTAAACAAACTATTAAATAAAAACAAAGAAAATTAAAGTAAGATGCCACAACCGGCCTAAACTGTCACCCGGGATTTGAAAATATAAAATAAAAGTACAGTGTATTAAAAGTCCACTGATATAATCTAAATGGCCAAACGATTTACAAACGGTTTTACATTTCCCAAAATTCTAAACTACATAATAGATAAAAACAGTTAAAATCTAAATGATAAAACAAATTACAGTTCTGTAATAAATTAAAACATGTTAAATTTAGTTTTGTCATTATAAAAATATACTTTAATAAATTCACAGTGAAAAGTGAATTTTAAATGATTAACCCACGTCTAATTGGCCTACATGTAACATGTGGGCCAATTGAAATTCATATTAAAATTATTTTTTATACTACTGATGAGTATTGGCTGATCAATAATTTTACAATGTCTTGATTGATTAAAA